GGTTTTTTCATTCCTCATGTTAAGATCACATGCATATCAGTCTGTCAAAAACTTGAATAAAGTTTCCCCATTTTGTCCTAAAACAATCTGCAGCGACTATTGAAAAAGTCCTATAGAAACCTGAAAGAACCTTCTATCAGGCTCCAACTCACTAACTTCTGCCTAAAATGGAACGGATTTCATTCTCTATCAGCTTTAATGAAACACTAATGGTGCAGGTAGATCTCTCACCTGAAACGCTCCCATGGTGTAAGGCTGACTTCTCTCTCCTGGTGGCAGATTTGATCGACTGATGGCTCGATTCTTTTTCCTTCCAACCAATGGCTGGATCTACCTTTATTTATATGCCATGCTGCTGTCATCATAACCCTGTCATCTATGCAGATTGGTGGAGGTATTGATGAGAAGGCTGAGGCTGGAGGCCATGCTGCTCAGCATCATTATGCTGTTTTTGACATTAGCATTTAGCCTTGATAGTGCGTACCTTCCTCCTGATAAAAGGTTAGACCGGTATATGCTGATGAGCCGTCCAACTGGGTGGACTCCCATTACCTGTCCATTCATGGTCCAGCATCACCGTTAAGTATTTTGACCTCCTGTCAGTGTTCCTGTGTGACTCATCAGACCTTCACCGTCCTGATGGAGAAACATCTTCCAAACTCCATTCTCATCTTCCTGTGACCTCACCCATTCAGAGTGGAACACCCCCAACAAACCAGTGCTAAGAAATAAGCTGTTTTTATGCTGAAAAAACTTTACTCACACAATGACAGACAGACAAACATTCATGCCCAGAGACCACCTTTAATATAGTAATTGTGCTTTGAATACAGCTGAATAATTAAACCCAGGGACGGGGCAAACCTGAATGGGCCCAACAAATATTTGATCTTAGGGCCCTTTATGGAGTGAATTTTGTTCCATTATTGTTGCAAAGAATACTGTCATGATTTTACTGAGATCTGACCCAAAAGCATTAAACCAATACAGAGAGACCAGGGAAAAAG